AAAAGCAGTTCTGATTCTTCCACAAGGTGTGAATTCCTTCAGCGTCATCTTCCTGAAGAGGATTTGAAGGGCCAGAGTGCTCACAGGAGCGTCAGATATAGAATCATAGAATGGTTTGGGTTGGAAAGGACCTTAAGACCGTCCAGTTCCAGCCCCCTGCCGTGGACAGGGATGCCTCACACTAGGCCATGTCACCAAAGGCTCTGTCCAGCCTGGCCTTGAACACTGCCAGGGATGGAGCCACTTCTCTGGGCACCCTGTGCCAGTGCCTCACCACCTTCACAGGGAAGAACTTCTGCCTTCTATCTAACCTGAACTTCCCCTGTTTCAGTTTAAATCCGTCACCCCTTGTCCAATCATTCCAGTCCCTCTCCAGCATCCTTGTAGCCCCCTTCAGACACTGGAAGTGGCTCTGAGGTCTCCATGCAGCTTCTCTTGCCCAGGCTGAACAGCCCCAATGTTCTGAGCTTGGCTCCATACAGGAGGTGCTGCAGCCCCTGAGCATCCTCACAGCCTCCTCTGGACTTGCTCCAACAGCTCCATGTCCTTCTTATGGTGAGGACACCAGAACTGCACTCAGTACTGGAGCAGGCGGCTGTAAGTCCCAGCTCATCCATAGACAAGGCTGTGCTGAGAAGACTGAACATGTTAAGGGCCTTCCTTTTGGCACACTCAAGCCAGTCTCTCACCTGGGTGAGTTTTTAAGCCCTTTCCTCTCTCTGTTTGTCTGAATATCCTGTGCCTGGGGCTGCCAGATGTGTAGTTTTTATTGCAACCTCTTGAATGTTGATGGAGAGCAAGGTGATCACTGCACACAGAGATACACTGCAAGATGCTTCTGTTCTGAGCCAAGGCCCATGCTGGGTTGATTTAGTTGGGGTTTTTTAGGAGAAGGAAATGGGAATTTTGGGAATCCTACAAGGTTTTATTTCATTTCCTCTGCAGTCATGAGAGGTGGTAACTGCTGCAGCCTCCCTCGTGGTGCTGAGTGATCCCTCCCAGAGGTCTCTGGTTTTCATCTTCCCTTGAGCTTATGTGAGCGGTGTCTGGTGATCCAGCAGTCACTTGCTGGGAGGTTGGACCCTCTCCTCTTCCCTCCAACCTGAAGGTGTTCAAAAGGAAGTCAGAAGGTTGATGTTTTCATCATGGAGACGTGGTCTGTCCGAGGTTTTTGTATGGTTTTGTCTCTCTTAAAATACATTCTCCCCTGAGGCTTGGCTCGGGCTTAAGGAAGTGTGTTGTTCATGAGCCCATCTTCGAGACACCTCAGTGTCTTAACATCTTTCACAAGAACGCCTTGCTGAGGAGCCAGGTATGAGGTCTGGAGTTTATCAGTCCACTTCTTACATGGTAGGAAGATAAAATTAGTTCCAGAGAGGGAGGGATGCTGGAAACAACACAAAACCCTTCTGGTAGAAAGAGCAGTGATGGTTTGCAGCCAGCAGCTATTTCAGATCACACAAGAGGATCAGTACTCGAGATGGAAATACCAACCTTCAGTTTTGCAGTGCTTCTTAGTAGTATGAAGGTGTATGTATGTGTATGAAGGTAAGGGCCCTCCAGAGCTGACAAGGGGAGATGCTTTCAGGGTGCCACAGCTTCATCGGCTTTTGTCTGGAGCTGCCAGGATGTGGCTTTGCATGGACAAGGAGAAATAAAGCTCCAGTCCTCCCAGGAGGATGGTAACAGGGAGGTGGAGGGAAATAACCTGTTGGTCAAGATAAATCCTGACTCACTCTTCGATGTGGGCAGCTACTCACTCTTGGTAGTTTCCTTCAGGCCCCATGTAAGTGTTTGTTGTTTGGTTTTAGTACCCCTTGGCTGCAGCTGCCTCCAGGGAGGCCGGTGCTGGAGTTCTCTGCTGGTCCCTGGCTTCTCCCAGAGGCCCAGGTCACTGGGCTGCCTCACCAGAGCACACTGTGAGAAGTGCTCCAAGGGCTGGAGCTGGGCTGGGTCAGCCTGGAGAAGAGAAGGCTCCTGAAGGGGAGACCTTAGAGCAGCTCCAGTGCCCAAAGGGGCTGCAGGAAAGCTGGAGAGGGGCTTGGGACAAGGGCCTGTAGGGACAGGCCAAGGGGAATGGCTTGAACCTGCCCGAGGGGAGACTGAGCTGAGCTCTTAGGCAGAAGCTCTTCCCTGTGAGGGTGCTGAGGCGCTGGCACAGGGTGCCCAGAGAAGCTGTGGCTGCCCCATCCCTGGCAGTGCTCAAGGCCAGGTTGGACACAGGGGCTTGGAGCAAGCTGCTCCAGTGGAAGGGGTCCCTGCCCGCAGCAGGGGTTGGAGCTGGAGGAGCTTTAAGGTCCCTTCCAGCACAAACCATTCTGTGATTCTATGATAAAACCATGATTTTAGACCAGCAAAAGGTCTGATGTCTGCAGGCCAGGCAGGAATCTGAGGAGCTAAGACTGGTGTGGAAGCCAAAGGAGGTAGAAGTGTTCCAAATCCCGTGCTGACAGCCCTAGTTTCTCAAGCTGAAAGTGCCCCACCATAGAAATGAAACATGGCAATAAAGAGCTATTCAGTGAGCAGGACGAGGTGGTTTCTCTGCATCTGCTCTCATGTCTCTATGCCTGATTTCCTCATTGGGTCAGGATGCAACCGGCTGCTCCCATGCAACCCATAGTGCCCATAAGGGCTTCCAGAATGGAGCTGTAACAGGACCCAGCACAGCCTGAGCCCCACGTTGGGAAGCTGGAATGGGAACACTGGCATCACCCCTCTTGGGCAGGGGCTTAAGAATGCTGCCCTCACATTTCCCAAGGGAATTTATAGGGAAGAACTCTTTATTATTGGGAAAATTGATAGTATTTGATGGGAAGATCCCTGTGAAGGAGAAGTTGAAGCATAGGTTCTGTGGAAGGGGTTTTAGGAGCTGGACTGCTCATGGTGCTTGAGACCCATGTTCTTGTGGGGAAACAAATCAACGGCCTTTTTTGCATTATGAGAAACCATCAGGATTCTCTTGTTGCTGTCCCATGGGATTCCCAGGCAGCATCATTCTCACAGTCCTCTGGCAATATGCGGAGTTTCCTTCTTCTTTTCACCCTCCTAATCTGTGGGGCTTGTATCCGACCCCATAAAACCATTTTCCAGCCTCACTGTTGGGAGTTTTCTTCCTCTCCTTTCTGAAGACGTCTTGCCTGCTGGCAACTGCATTGTCCAGAGAGATTTGAAGCTTGGCACGCTGTCAACAAAACTTCAGTTGCCCTTTCAGTCAATCACAGTAGTGCTGTGAAGTGCCTTGGCCTCCAGCCCGTGGGTCACCAGAAGCTTCCTCATATAATAGGAAGTCCAAACAACCCCAGGAAACCCATTCCGATGTGAGTGGGGCCTTTAGTGGAAGAAAGAAGTGCTTAGAAGAGACATTAAGAACCTCAGCTTTAACTCTTTTCATAATTATGCACTCCAGAGGAGCAGGGGCTTTGTGGATAAAGAGATTACATGCGTCTGATGAGGTCTGGGGAGATGTGACAGCAGCTTCTACCCACACTTTCCCCCTCCTTGTTTTAGTGCTGGTGCAGTCACAACACTGACTGGAAGGATATTGCAGAGCAAGGCTGCCTCATAGCCACGAAGGTCCCGTGCAACCTGGCACAGGTAAATTGGATCATTCTTCCCTTAGCGCTGATAAGGATGAGCTTTTGGAAGAGCAGTGCGGGGAGAACTTAATTAGATTAAGTTGCATGTCCAGGATGTGTGGAGAAACCAGCCATAGGAGGCAGGGACACCCTGGGATGCGCTTCCCACCCCTGCCTGGCTCTGAGCTGCCTTTATCCTTTGAACAAGCAAAAGGAAAATACATCTGAGGTGTAAATCTCAGTGTAAACCAGTGCAGGGGTAACAAAACCAGGTCTCATGCTGGTGTCCTGCCTCTGGCTGTGACCTGATGCTGGCAGCCAGGCAGCAGGGGAGGAAATCAGCTTTTGTTGGCCAAAGCGGGGCTGGAGCAACCTCATCTGGTGGAAAGTATTCCTGCCTATGGCAGGGGCTGGAACTGGATGATCTTAGGTCCTTTTCAACCCAGATCAGTCTGTGATTTAACCTGCCCGAGGGGAGACTGAGCTGAGCTCTTAGGCAGAAGCTCTTCCCTGTGAGGGTGCTGAGGCGCTGGCACAGGGTGCCCAGAGAAGCTGTGGCTGCCCCATCCCTGGCAGTGTTCAAGGCCAGGTTGGACACAGGGGCTTGGAGCAAGCTGCTCCAGTGGAAGGGGTCCCTGCCCATGGCAGGGGTTGGAGCTGGGTGAGCTTTAAGGTCCCTTCAACCCAGACCAGACTGGGATTCAGTGAAAAATGCAGGAGCTGATGGGGTGATGCGGGGTCAGGATTTAGGGGTCTCCCCACTTCCCACTCATCTGTTCCTTTGGCTGGCAGTGCCAGTGGCTCTGTGCTCTGATGCGATTACAAATGTGGGTTTGCTTTTGAATGTCTTTGTCCTTTATTACTGTTACTTACTTACTTGTCTTGATAACAGCCTCTATAAGAATGTTATCCACACCATGTTGCATGTCTGTGAGCTTCCCATACACACATTTCCTTCTCCCTGCTATATACTTCCAGCATTTCAGTGTTACAGTTTGCCCTGCTGCACTGGGGAAGGGAGAATTTGACATCCCCAATTCACTCCCTTCACGCTCTTCATTATTTATATGCCTCTCCTGTGGTCTCTCTTCTTTTTATTCTTAATCAGCTCTAGTCTTTTAAATCCTTCTTTGTGTGATAGTTTCATTCTACAAAGGCTGAACTAGTTTGTAGCAGCTCGGTTGATGTGATCTTGCTCATCTCCAAGGTGTTTAACAGCACCGTGTACCCATCGCAAGCTGCACTTAAACTGTGTCAAGTCCTGCGCTGCTTCGCTATGGGAAGGGGGAATGTTTGTTGCAGCTGCCTTTCAATTTAAATTTGGATGTTTTAAATGAATTAAATATGAACATGAATAATGCAAGCGGTAACCCAGCCTTTCTGCAATGAAATGCAGACTTCTGCGTTTTGTCTCTCTGCTGCCAGGTTTTGATATGCCGCAGTGTTTGGACTGACTTTGGTGGCTTGGAGGAGTGATGGGGAACTAGAGCTCATGACAGTTCAGAGGAGCCCCTGGCACTTTTGAGATCCCGGTGAGTGGAAGTTGTTTGAAACTCTGGGAAAGGCACTTTACCCGCTGCAAAAGGCAGCATGTCAGTTGGCCTTTATAGATTGGAAGGGATTGAAATCAACTCGCACATTGAGCTGTTCTTTGAGGGTATAACCCTGAAACCAACACCATGTAAGTGTGGTTCATGCTTCCAGGATTGTCATGCTATCTGCAAGCATGAGAAATACAGCGTTGGAAAAAGAAGGGAGTTTTAACTGGGATACACAGCTCTGCACAAGTGTCAGGTTTGGATGTGGAGTATTGCATGTGCTGGGCTGGGTAAACCTCCAGTGCTTCATCTGATGCAAAAGTGTCTCTGTGTCATTGACCCAGCTGACAGGGTCTCATCAGGGGGGTGTGTCTGGGGTCACTGACCATGCAGACAGCTCGCTTTTCCCCCTCAGATACCACTTGGTAGCTTCTGCTATTCATTAAGACTTTTTTTCTAGCCTCCAGTCCCTGAGCAGTGCACAGGCCACATCCATCCATCCTGCAGTGCCTGTTCTGCTGATTGCTTTCATCCCTCTAGACTGACGTCTGTCTTCTTCACTGGCGTGTTTCAGGCTTGCCAAAGCCTACAGGACAGCTCCACTTGCCTTCCAATCAGGTGTCAGCGAGATGAAATCGTAGGGTGCTTTGAGTTGGAAGGGAAATGACTTTAAGCTGAAAGAGGAGAGACTGAGCTGAGCTCTTAGGCAGAAGCTCTTCCCTGTGAGGGTGCTGAGGCGCTGGCACAGGGTGCCCAGAGAAGCTGTGGCTGCCCCATCCCTGGCAGTGCTCAAGGCCAGGTTGGACACAGGGGCTTGGAGCAAGCTGCTCCAGTGGAAGGGGTCCCTGCCTGTGGCAGGGGTTGGAGCTGGAGGAGCTTTAAGGCCCCTTCAACCCAAACCAGGCTGGGATTTTATGAATTTCTGGAGTTGTGTGGTCCAGCCCCACGTGCAGAGCTGGGGGGAAGTCAGACCCAGCTCCAAGGTTGGACCAGGCTGCTCGGGGTGGTACCCAGGGGTACTTGGAGTATATCCAAGGATGGAGATTTTCCAGGTTTGCTGGGCAGCTACTGAATGAAATCACAGCCAGTGGGAATTGCCAAGCCCCATGTCAGTAAAGCCCAGCTTATACCAGTTCCAGAAGGGCACACTGGCTATGTCTCTGTGGGTAAAGAGCCTTGTGCAGCAACTGGTCCCTGTCCCTGGGAGGCTGATGGCTCCCATCTGCACTGTGCAGGGCTGGTGGGATGAACACACTCAGTGTGGAGTTTGGCTTCAGCTCTTCTCTGAGCATTACATGTCCCTGAGGCACAATCATTACTTGCCATGGGTTTTTTCATGTTTGAGTCACGATTTTGCAGGATAAAACCCTGTGCTGCTGTCCTGTGTTGTGAGAACGTCTTTGGCAGCTGATGGTGCATGGTGCTGGAGCACTGCAAAGGGTGGCAGGAGCCAGGCTGGGACCATCTCCTTCAGACAGGTTCTTGGGAGCATATTTTGGAGAGTGCAGTCCCCAGGCTGGCACCCTCCAGAGCTGGGGTCCCCATGCAGCCCAAGTCACCTCCTTTAGGGAAGAGTCACCTTCTTATGTTGTTTTTTAATAGGAGCACCATTTAAATGTCTCATTCTCCTCCACCACGTGCTGGGAGCCCACTGGGACCAGCACCCATCTGTGCACTTTACACGTAGCTGGAGTTACTCCTGTTGCTGTCTGTGTGCGCATAGGGAGTGCAGGAATTTCACCTCCCAAGTCCCAGCCTGAGCATCTCACACACAGCCAAACACTTCAGCAGGGAAGGCTGCTCATCCCTGCGGCAGGGCTCCGAAGTGCTCAGGCTGAAGGAGCTTTTCAGAAGCATCTGAGGAGCACAGGAACACCCATCCCAGGCCAGACTTGTGAGATTTATGATCCGCGTTTAGGTACTTCAGCCAGGCCCATGTCTGAGCAGAGCAGAGAGCAGAGGTGAGGAGCCAGAGATGGTGAATGCATGTCTGGTGCCTTTACATAAACCCCTTTCACCCTGAGGGGGACTGTCCCTACCATGACTGCTGGCTTTTAATAAAAATGCCTGGAGAAAATGATGAAGAGAAGCATTAAAAGTTGTAAATAAGCTTTCCCATGTAGATTACCTTCTGCTCCTGAAAGGAAAAGAAACTTTACTCCTTTCACAAGTGTGCACAAACAAACACGCTATTTATGAGAGTGGCAATGAGAGGCTCCTGTGTGCCTTTTGATTTGGATTAAAAAAACAGCTAGGTTGGCTTTTTTTCCTTTAGCATTTAATATTCCTTTAGTATTTTCCATGTCAGGGTATTGCTCAATGTTGCAAGCACTGCACTTCAAGGCTGTAGTTTGTAGCTGGATTTCCAAATCAAAGCCTCTCGCCAAGTTGGATCTGAAGCAGAAACTTGTGTCCCCAGCCAGCTTCCTTGCACATCCTGCAGCCTGACTGCCCCACTGTGAACAACATAGAGTGAGAGTCACACAGTTCATCTTTCATTAGTTAGGGCAGTGTCAAACATGCTCTTACCACTTTCCAAAGGGCTTGCTTGTGGCTCAACCATCCGGTTTGGTAGTGGGCTTCATGGATGTGTCCAGCTCTCACCTCCCCACAGCTCTGATTTTCAGTACCATTCTTCTAAGCAGAGGAAGAATGCAACTGCTCAACTGCTTGTTCTTGCTGGGGACAGTCCAGCCAGTTTTCTTCCAACCAGGAGAACAGGAAATGCAGCACCACTTGGCCACTGATTGCAGGCCTGACAGCAAAAATGTTTCCTGGCTCTTTGTCCAATTTCTCACCCTTATTACCCAGAACTGCTGTGAGTAATTTGAATTGCAAGTGGTGAGCTGGGCTTTGCAGTGCTGTTTTGCCAGAGTTAATGTTGTGTTTCCATGTGGTTTCTTCCATACATTTCAGCTCTGCCTCCCTTTGTTAGTGCTAGGGAACACCCCCCCCCATGCCACGCACCCACCCAGGACCTGCAGCAGTTAACACAGACACTGGCATGTGCTCCTCTCCCTGGGTTATGCTGCTTCCACTGCTGTACATTTGAAGTTGTCCACATAATGGAGAAAGACTTGCAGATTGAAGGGGGTTGGAATGAATTGTCTGTGTTCAGCAGGAGATGTTCTGCTCAACCCAGGGTGAAAGAGCATCTGTTTTCTCCCTGATGTGTGATTAGTTCATGTTGCACATGACTGTGTGCTCCAGAATGAGGAATGGTCTCACGTGTATTTCTTTTCTCCTAGACATCTTCAGTTATCCAAAAGGCAGCCAGTCCCAGGGTACGGACAGCAGCGGGTGATAGAATGCGGAAACCAGGCCCTCAAAAAGGTGAGCACTGATGCTTGGCACAGCCACAGGCCCAGGAGAGAGCTGGTGCTGAGCAAAGGACCCAGCGCAGCATGAGGACAGCAGTGGGGTGGGAGCACAGGGGAAGTGTGGGCACAAGTTTGAGCCGCTTATTTCTCCAGCAGCATGCAGAGAACCTTTCACCCAAGCAGGTGGAGGAGCAGTCCCTTGCTGGGTGCACCCTGAAGCTCATGGGGCACAGTGCTGGGCAGTGAGGGTGTTCTGGTGTATGAGCACACACCATCTGCTTGTGCTCCCAGCGTGAGGCAGACAGCTCCTGTGCTGGCACAAGCCTTCCCCTTCTAATGAGGCGTGAAACCAAAGCCCAGCCTACCTCGTGGGGATGGCATCTGGTACTTCACCTCTGGCCACCCGAGCCTCCTGCCTGTTCCACGCAGCAGCAGCCACACGTGCACTCCCCATAGTGCCCCAACTCAAGTGGGAAGTTGTGGGGCTGCTGAAGCTTAGCTGCTCCTAAGGGCTCCTTGTGCTTAAGAGGACTATTGATTTCCTTCAGCCTTGTGCCACGCGTGTGTGTTGGACCGGGGTGATCTCATCACATATGCCTGGGAGGATGGGGGAAGGGAGCAGCTTAGAGGATGGAGCATCCTCCACAGTGCTTTGTTCACATCTGCTGCACGCTCACCAGGTTTATTGCAGGAGATTCCTATGCTCCGTTTCTCTCCTCCCTTTCTTGTGTTTTAAACGTCTTTGCTTCTCTGGTGGCTCCTCTCACAGAAGCATTATCCCCTTCCAATCACTGCTTGTCCTTTAATGAAGTGCAAATAAATGAAGGCGAGCAGGGGATGGGGGAAGCGTGCTGCGAGGCAGCTGCAGGGCTGGGAATCAAAGAGCCACGTTGATTGTCAGCACTGTGGCCTCGGGCCCGGCTGCGCACAGCTTCTTCCCTTCCTCAGGAGCAGGATGCCTCAGCCCAGTGCTGTGGGACCTGTGCTAGGCCATAGGTTACAGCAGCAACACTTGGGTTTGTGTCCTACTTACCTGCTGTTTTAATAATGCATTGAACTTTCGCTTGTTCTTCATTTGCCTGCAGAAATTCTTGCTTCTCTTGCCCTCTCTGCTGCTTTCCCTGCCTGCTTAATGAGGAGTTTTGCATGTTAAAGGTGAAGAATAAAATAGAACTTCTCTAGCAGAGTATGGCAAGAGGTTACTTGGAGTGCACAGATGCTGTTAGAGTTATCCAGCAACACCTAGAGGAGCCTTACTCATCCACGGGGGCTTTTTTGCTTCTGGCTTAAATACTTTGTGTCCTTTAGTCTTGCTTTCTTGAGGAGATGGCAGAATACTGTCCCTCAAGGGGAATTGTTCTTCCACCCTTTTCATTCATTTCATAGAATCCCAGACTGGTTTAGGTTGGAAGGGACCTTAAAGCTCCTCCAGCTCCAACCCCTGCCACAGGCAGGGACCCCTTCCACTGGAGCAGCTTGCTCCAAGCCCCTGTGTCCAACCTGGCCTTGAGCACTGCCAGGGATGGGGCAGCCACAGCTTCTCTGGGCACCCTGTGCCAGTGCCTCAGCACCCTCACAGGGAAGAGCTTCTGCCTAAGAGCTAATCCGAACTTCCCATGTCTTGGTGTAGTGAGAGCCACATGAGCCAGTTTTAGTGGCTTTTGCGTTTGTTCCTTTCGAGCTTTGCCACTTCTTCATATAGTTAAAATGATGGAGCTTCACCCGTTTGCTGCTTTTTAGGTTACTGCTTGCCACTGTGGGAGGACACTGATTGGTGAGGACTAGGCAGAGACTAAAATGCAAATGCAGATGCCTCAAGTCAGGTCTCCCTGCTTCAAGCACACCCCATTGGTTTAGACAAATGATCCGTGTTACCTGGGTCATGACAGGGCCAGGGAGGTCACTCCTCTCCTCTGAAGTGCCTGCAGAGCCCATGCCATGGGCAGATAATGTTCAAGAGCATTGGCTGCTTTCACTGACACAAACACTTTGTCTCTTGTCTCAGCCATAGACTGGAAAGATGGTAAAAAGCACAAGTACGGTCGCCCATCAGAGTCCCCCTCCCAGTACCAAGGTAAGAGAGCTCCCTCTCCCCTTTTCCCCTTCTCCTTCTCTTCTCTCCCTCTCCCCCCCGCTTCCCTCCTTCTTTTTCTCCCTCTCCCCCTCTCCCCTTGTGTTTATTTTCTCCTGAAAGCTTTTTGAGTTGTTGGGATGTGGGAAACTGCAAACGCCAAATGAGATTACAGATAAAAACTGCTTCTGGAGAGCCCTCACGTGAGTCCTCATGTGGTTAATTCTGACCACAGTCAGAACTGGCCAAGAAGACACTGGGGTGAGCCCAGAGCTGAGCCAGCTCATTTGAAACCAGCCAGGATCCAGCAGATCTGTTTCTTCCTCAGCTGCAAGTGCGGAGGGGAGACTCTGCCCATGTTTTTCCATGCACTTGGGGCATAAGGAACTTCTTACTCTCCATTCACTGCTCTTCCATGTTCACAGCAGTGGCTAGCCCAGGCCTCACTGTTGCAGGAGAGACATGGTATGGCCAATGGAAGGGTTCCTAGAGCAGCTGTCAGTGCTGACATGAAAGCTGGAGAGGGGCTTTGGACAAGGGCCTGTAGGGAGAGGCCAAGGGCAATGGCTTGAACCTGCCCGAGGGGAGACTGAGCTGAGCTCTTAGGCAGAAGCTCTTCCCTGTGAGGGTGCTGAGGCGCTGGCACAGGGTGCCCAGAGAAGCTGTGGCTGCCCCATCCCTGGCAGTGCTCAAGGCCAGGTTGGACACAGGGGCTTGGAGCAAGCTGCTCCAGTGAAAGATGTCCCATGTCATTGGAGATGAGGCATCCCCAGCACAGGCAGGGAGGGCTGTGGCCCTGAACTGGCTCCTGCCATTCCTCAGGAGGGATGCAGATGACTTCCAGCTTTAGGAAGTTCATGTAAGGCTTGTGTAATTTAATAGATTTTAGGGCCTGTATTTTACTTACAGAGCATAAGAAGATCATGTCCTTACGTCCTCCCATTCTGCCTGTCTCTGTAAGGGAAGCGATGTCCATACTTCCCACCAAGTAGAGAGCAATAGGAAACTGAACAATTGCCTGAGCTAAGCCATTTTAGCAGGAAATACGTGTTTGCCTTTGGGAATTCTCTTCTGTGTGTAATAGAGCCCTTAGGAGAGCTGCAGTAGCTGCTGTACCTCAGGGGGTGGCACTCAGGGCAGTGGTTCTCTGACACATTGTGGGCCACCATCAGCCCTCGCCATTCTCTCTTGGGGCATCTCATCTGTTCTTGTCTGCCCTCAATGTGAAGTCCTGTGGATCACAGTTTGGAATGACCTTCTCCAAGGGCAGGAAGTGTGTTAGAACCTCCAGTAAAGTCCTGGCTCCTGTGTCACCGCACACTAAGCTCCATGTGACATTATGGGGCACTGCCACAGCTCCCATGGCCTGTGTACGGTCAGTGTTTGGGGTGTTGAGGCTATGCTGCTGTTCCCCTCTGCTCTGTGTGCGGATGGCAGAGACTGGCTGCTGTTCAGGGGCAGTGCTGACCTGAAATGGAGCTTTCTGGGGGCTTCAGCTTCCCCAGCAGCACTCATCCACACCAGCCACCACAGCACACTGCATCCCAGGGCTCGCTGGCCTGGGGAGGAACCTCTGCAGACAGGCTCATGGGCACGTGTCTCCTCAACAAGCACATGGAGCAGTGAGGGATCTGCCCCCTGCAAGAAACTAAGCAGCAACTCACTGCCTGAGGCTGGGGTAGGTGTGAGGGGTGAACCTACAGCAGCTCTCTGGCACAGAGCAACCTGTGATCCAGGCTGAAAGGATTCCTGCTTAGAGGTAAAGCTGCACTGGGACACCTCTGAGAAGCAGGAAAGCAGATGCTGTCCCGGTGGTTGAAACCTGTTTGGTTTGGCTCACACATCCTCTCCTTTCTTCTGAGCAAGACAGCGAGTAAGTGGGATCGTGATGTTGGTTGTAGCCGTTACTGATGGAGAATGTGCAGCTGGATTGATGGCTGAGCAAGTGGAACCGTGACAGGGAGGACATGCAGGAGCCCTGCCATGGTGCTGGGAGAGCTGATCCCTGGGGAGGCTGTGCCCAGGCGTTGGGATCTGCCAGCAGACACCATCCTCTGCTCATTTTCATAGCGAGCTGCCTCAGACTGTGCTGCTTTCATGTGCTGCTTGATGCTCATTAGCAGACACACATATGGGCTGCAGACTTTAATGGGATGCCTTGATCTGGGGAGGGCACGTTCTCCTTCACAGATGTGACCTGCAATGCACATGTATTGTTTCAGTTGGATTGATGACCCCTGGGGAGCTGAAATGCTAATGGGGCCCAAAGCAGGCTTCAGTTAGAGACAAACAGAAACTCTGTCTTCATTTAAATCCTGGGCAAAAGATGAACATAGATTTTCAACACGATGAGAAGTTAAACATAAAGGTGCAGTCTTGCACTGTTCACAGCTATGACCCCTTGGATGTGTGGAGTGTTTGGTTTGGAGTATTTTGGAAGGTTAAGCCATCAGAGCCCAGATTTCACATTCTGCCTGCACATGCTGTCTCCCTTTGACACAAGCGTGTGGTAAGGAGCTTTCCAAATGCAAGCAGGAGTGATGGACCATTGCCCCAAGTAGGCATTTTCACAGCTGAGTTCCAGGAGTCATGCAGCTTTACAGTCCTTGGCCCTTGTTCAGCTCACAGATGCAGTTACAAACCCATGGTGCTGCTCATTAAGGATCCTCCTCTTGTTTCTTCCTTCAAGCAGGTCTGAGGTATGGTACAGGGAGGAGCATGGTGCCTTCAGTGGGTGATCCCTCCAGTTTGGGGGAGTGCAGTCTGCTCTGCACACTGGGGAGGAAGTAGGGAAGAGAATCCCAGAATCCCAGCCTGATTTGGGTTGGAAGGGACCTTAAAGCTCCTCCAGCTCCAACCCCTGCCACGGGCAGGGACCCCTTCCACTGGAGCAGCTTGCTCCAAGCCCCTGTGTCCAACCTGGCCTTGAGCACTGCCAGGGATGGGGCAGCCACAGCTTCTCTGGGCACCCTGTGCCAGCGCCTCAGCACCCTCACAGGGAAGAGCTTCTGCCTAAGAGCTCATCTCAGTCTTGCCTCTACCAGTTTAAAACCATTAAGAAATGGCCGGTAGTGAACAGGGAAAGAAGCAAGCCTGAACTGCTGTATTGACTCTGCCTTTTCTCAGTGTTTAGAGAACTCTTTCTGCTGCTTCTCACAAAATAAGTCCCCAGAACCATGAGTCGTAAGTACCTGCAGTTCTGGTGGGGTGTGTGTGTCTTCATGTGGTGCTTGGGTCCCAGTGGAATTCATCTCAGATCAGTTCCATGTGCAAGCACTATTTTTAGAGGCCCGCAGCTGCCTCGGAGGTTGCTGCTCCTGTTGGGGCTGTGCAGCTCAGTCCCAGCGCAGCGCGGTGCTGCGGGGAGCGGAGCAGCGTTGGCTGTTGTGGAGCCACTGAGAGGAGGATTAAAGCCAGGACCGTGTTTAGCAGTGAGGATTGAAACCAGCTGAGCAGGGGGGAGGGTTTTCCTTTAAGCTAAAATAGTTGAGTGCAGCTGATCCCTTCCATAGAGCCCTGCTCAGGCCCTGGGGCAGACACACGGTACTGTCACTACCAGCATCCTCTGTGCTCCACAGACAGGGGCTTCTGAAGGACCCCCCAGCCTGAGATGAGCCCAGGTCAGCAAGTAGAGTTATAAGGAGGGATGCAAGAGGCATTGCCATGGCTGGGCTTGCTTTGCCTGGTGTTTAGTACACATAATTCATACATTTCATTGATACGAGCAAGTGTAAAATCATTGAACCATGGAATGGTTGGAAAGGACCTTAACACCATCCAGTTCCAACCTTCCACTAGAGCAGCTTGCTCCAAGCCCCTGTGTCCAACCTGGCCTTGAGCACTGCCAGGGATGGGGCAGACACAGCTTCTCTGGGCACCCTGTGCCAGCGCCTCAGCACCCTCACAGGGCAGAGCTTCTGCCTTTATCTAACCTGAACTTTCCCTGTTTCAGTTTGAACCCATCACCCCTTGTCCTATCACTACAGTCCCTGATGAAGAGTCCCTCTCCAGCATCCTTGTAGTCCCCTTCAGACACTGGAAGCTGCTCTGAGGTCTCCAAGCAGCTTCTCTTGTCCAGGCTGAACAGCCCCAGTGTTCTCAGCCTGGCTCCACACAGGAGCTGCTCCAGCCCCTGAGCATCCTCATGGCCTCCTCTGGGCTGGCTCCAACAGTTCCACGTCCTTCTTACGTCGAGGTCACCACCTTCAGGCAGTGGCAATGAAACTGTGTATTTCCTGTTCATTTCCACTGTGTTTAACAGCGTGCTCATCATCTGCATGGGAGGAGGCAAGAAAGTAGCATTGCTTTTATGTATTTGGAGCAGGGAGATTATCCAGCCCTGACGGCTTCTCTGTGCACTTGAAGCGGAACTGAAGCAACGTGTGCTGACCTTGATGCCTGAGTTCTTAGAGGTGTGGTGTGCGCTGCAGTAGCTAAAATGGCTCTTAATGTAGCTTTTGTTTTGAGAATAGGCTGATTCACAACTTGATGTGAGCAGGGGAAGCAGGAGCTGACTCTTTAATTGTGCTGCCACACATTCAATGCTCTTGAAATGACTTGCAAGCGGCGGTCCCCCAGGAGCTGTTGGGATGAATACCAGCTCCTGTCGTGCTGGAAGGAGCCTTTCCCAGCTGCTCAGTTGAAATGGCAAAAGTCACAATTTGCTCAGATCACAGGAGCTTTTAATTCCTCATTTAATCCCAGGTTCCCCTGGATGACATATTGCTTTTACCCTTCCTGCTGTACATGGGAAGGGTGAGGGCAAGGATCAACGCGTTTCCCACAGCAGTGCTCAGTGGAAAGGGCTTTGGTGTTGGGTGTGAGCTGCTGTGTTCAGGCAATCCCTGTTTGGAGGATCCCTGCTTCCATCCTGCCTACAGGCTCTGTGTCTGCCTCAGGAAGTGATTGCTGAGGTCGAACTGATGCTGCTCTGAACTGCTGGGCCATGGTGTGTGGCTGGACCAGGGAAGCTGCAGCATCAACATATGCAGTTTCCTATTGACTTGGGCTGCTTTTAGCCCACGGGGACTGTTCTTAATCCCCAGACTGAGCCATCTCTTTAACAAATGACTTCCAAGGGGCAGTTGTCTGGAAGATTCCACAGCTCCCCATCTGTGCTGGGTATTTATATGAAGTTGCAGGTTGTTACCCTCGCTCTTTGCAGACCCCTCTCAGCAGCGCAGAGGCAGTAGGATGCCGCAGGCAGCACGGTGCTTTGTTCTGCCTGTCAGCTGCAGTTGTAAATCCTCTGTGGTCACAAACATCAGAGGATCTTGATGAGAGCATGTTGCCTGTGAGCACCTCCTCTGTGAGGACTGGAGAACTGCCTGTATCTGGAGTCCAGCCATCTCGCTCTGAGCTTTTTGCTTGTCAGTTCCTATTTGAATCCTTTCGTTTTCTCTTCTCAGGTCACTTCACCTGGGAGAAATACCTGAAAGAAACATGTGCCATCCCAGCTCCCGCCCATTGCTTCAAGCAGGTAAGAGGGTGCAAACAGGAAAGGTCAAAGGTGATGGTGCATTAGTGACCCAGGAGTTCCCTGCTTGGGATAGGCCCCTTTTTTGGCAAGGAAGATGCTTAAGGATATCAGAGAATTAACAGGAAACCAAGTGTGCTGAAGCAAAGGTAACAAGCACAGATTTTACTCTGAGATATGCATGGATGGGAACGTGAGAAAGCTTTTACTGTGCCAAGCATAGGCCCTTAGAGATATGGTTCTGGTGATGGGATAGCAGCCCTTGGGCACTGAGCACAGAGGTGGGTACAGGGGATGCAGGAGGGAATTGGCACATTACATGGTACACCTGGGTCTGGGTGTACCAGGATACTCCTCAGCAGCACGGAGGAATTGTATCTGTTGGGTTGGCTGGGTGATTCCCCTGAGAAGAGGGCTATGAGGAAAGGGTAGGTCTGGTTACAGGTCTGCCAGGGCTCACCAAGCTTTCTTTGCTGCTCTGTGGTGTCTGCTCCCGTGCTGTGCTTGGAGGATGCTGTCAGTCTCTGGTAGAACCAGTGTTGGTGCTCTCAGGGTAGCAGCCTAAATAGTGGAAATCCTGGCTCTGGATGAGTCCCTGTTTTTCTCTTTGCAGTCATACACTCCACCTGCAAATGAATTCAAGATCAGTATGAAACTAGAAGCCCAGGACCCCCGGAACACCACGTCCACGTGCATCGCCACAGTGGTGGGTCTGACGGGCGCTCGCCTGCGCCTGCGCCTCGATGGCAGTGATAACAAGAATGACTTCTGGAGGCTGGTGGACTCTGCTGAAATCCAGCCCATAGGAAACTGTGAGAAGAACGGAGGGATGCTGCAGCCTCCACTGGGTGAGCTGGAGTTCAGCTGTCCACTGAGCACCCACATGATCTGTGCGGAAAACACTGGGGGGTTTATATCTCTGTGCCTGGGACAGAGACCCTTGGACTGCCCCTGCCTACCACTGTGATATGGAGCAGCCCTGTTAGTTTGGGCTGTTAAACATGTATCCCACACGAGGTCTGTATTTCCACGTGGATGTTGTGGCATGGATAAGGAGGTGTTTTAGAGTGTAGATGAAAGAGCTCTTTCCACCTAGGTGAACTGCCTGGGCTCTTTGATTGCCAAGCTCAGGATAAGCACATGCTGACTGTGCTTTCTGAAGTTATCCCTGTGTACCCCAAAGGAAAAACACTTCCATGCATTTGTGGGAAAGAATGCCAGAGCCAGTGTGATTTCTAGGGGACACACAAGCAATGGAGGGCACCCCAAAGTCCTAGCGACCCAGGGGTGTGGGTGGTAGTGTTGGAAGGCAGAGCAACCATGATGGCCTCTCCTGGGTAACTGCCTGTATAAGGACAGAATGAATCCAGGTTCTCCTTTCCTGGGAGACACGCCACAGTCACCCAGGCAGTGCTGGCACTTGGCCTGGTCTCTGACCACTGCCCATTGCTCTGGGCTTCTGATTCTGCTTCCAAGTGCTGTCATCTCCAAGGTGTGCTTGGCATGAGCTGGGTGTCATCCATCAGTGCGTTCCCCTGCGCTCCCCCTGAGCTGAGCAGGGTATTGGTGTCTGGTTGGCTTTGCTGGGGATCTGTGAAACTTGAGGTAGAGCATAACCAAGAGAACAGTCAGGGCTGAGGCACTGCTGATCCCAACACTGATTTCAAAAGCATTTCGGTTTTCATTCATGCTGTCTAAGGGTATGTGTGCCCAAGTGCCTTTGGGTCAGTAGGAAGTCAGCTGGGGACCATGTGATGAGGAAACAGAAGGTCTGACAAGGTTCCCAGTGATTTAAGTCCTGTCTCATGTGAAGAGACACTTGTAATATTTCATCTCTTGATTTAGTTTCACTTTGCTGCAGATTGATCACTAACGTGGACAAACAAGTGCTCTTTCCAGTCTGGTCTTTGGGTGAATGCATCTTCTGTTTGGCACTGGCCAAATGAGGAGCTCATTTGCTGGTTCTTTCCTGATGAAACACCAAACTCAACCTGCTTTTGCATCCTGCTGCCCATTATTTGTGAAGCATCTTCATAAATCTCCCTCAGTTAGCACATCCGCAAATGAGATCAAGCCGATCTGTAGCGATGCAGGAAACCTTCAGTGGGACACCTGGAATGAGGGGTGTTTTTAATCATGTTTTTCCATGGAGAACCATTAGTGAGCTTTGTGGAAGTAGGGCCTGAACTGCAGTGGGACCCTTGGGATTGACCTTTCTGAAGAAGGAAGGAACATCATCAGATGCATATTCTGGCACATCCCACCACACAAAGCTGTGTGTATGCAGGTCTAATGATGCCCTTTGCCTTCATATTGGCTACAGGCAAAACCTGCTGCAGCTCTGAACATTGAAGCTGCCAGTTTTAGAATCATAGAATAGTCAGGGTTGGAAAGGATCTTCAGATCATCCAGTTGCAACCCCCCTGCCATGGGCAGGGACACCTCACACTAAACCAGGGCACCCAAGGCTGTGTCCAACCTGGCCTTGAACACTGCCAGGGATGGAGCATTCACAGCTTCCCTGGGCAACCCATTCCAGTGCCTCAGCACCCTTACAGTAAAGAATTTTGATGTTATTTCCATGCATGCTGCTGTGCATTTGCAGACATCGCTTCGAGACCTTGGTCCCAGGGAGCAGCACATGAGCTGCCCATCTCCTGTGGGTACCAGTCCTGCCTGGCAGCCATGGTTCCTCCTGTGCCTTGCCCGGCTTTTGCCAGCAGATGGCAATAAGGGTAATGGAGCTGCTGAAGGAGAGGGTTCATGCTCTGGAAGAAGTCTTTGTGCCCAGCTGTGACCTGCATAACCTTGGGCCAGGCTAGAATCACAGAATCCCAGGTTGGGAGGAACCTCAGGGACCATCAGGTCCAACATTTATAGGCAAAACCTGACCTAGACTAGATGTCCCAGCATTGTGTCCAGTCAGGTGTTAACAGTGGCCAACGCTGGGGAATCCATCACATCCCAGGGGAGGTTATCCAGTGGCTGATCGTTCTCATGGGGAAAAATCTCCCTCTTGTGTCCAGTCAGAATCCCCCCAGGATGTTGTGCTGTGGCATCTCAACCCTGGCAGAGCTTTGCCATGTCAGTCACCATGGGATGCTCTCCCTTTAGGTCCAGGCCCAGGGTTATCTTCAAACTACCACAGATACAGACAGTGCAATGCCCTGTTCAGCTGAGCAGCAGAAATTGCTTCTGCAGGAAGATGCATATGGAGCAAAGAAGGTGTTTTGTGATACCTGGTTGTGCAGTTGCACTCAGGGCCGTAGCCCAGAGCATGTGAATTTGCTTTCTTCTTCCCATAAACCCCTGTCTGCTATTTCTGTACTTCTCTTCATAGACAACATCGAGCCTAAAGCTGCCATTCTTTCCTGTAATGGTTAAATCTGGTTCCCAGCCAAGCCACAGCCTCTTCATTTAGTCAGGTTAGCTTGCCTGCAGCTCATTCTAAAAGGTGCAGGGGACCACCCAGGAGCTGAGATTCCCTATGGAGGAAGAAATTCCATACTCTGAGTGTGCACTTGCTGATTCATGTCTCCCTGTAGCAGGATCACTGAGGCTGCCAGCACTAGTGCTGTGCAAAGCTCTCTGCCTGCATGGGTAATGTGCAGACGTGTGTTCCCAGCAGAACATTGCAGACAGCCATCCCCAGGGGGTTCTTTTCAACAGCATCATGCTTTGTGTGCAGAGCATCTGGAAAAGGTCACATCTCACCCTCCAACATGAGGAGGAGGGTGATGTGTGATCACAGTGTGTGCCTGCTGCAGAGGTCCCATCCCAGCAGGCGTGTGCTGCTGGATCCAGTCTCAAAGTCTCTATCTCTGCTTCCTCCCCTGCAGGCTTTCGGCTGAATGCCTCCTCTTGGCCCATGTTCCTTCTGAAGACTCTGAATGGAGCAGAGATGGCTCCTGTCCGGATTTTCCACAAGGTATTTATTTCACTGTTTATGAAGACACCCTCTTGGCACGGCCCCTTTGCTGCAGAGCACCAGAGTCACAGCTGGTTTCTCACTAGAGGAGGTAAACAGTGACCAGCTTTCCCCTGGTGCTGCTTCTCTGGGGCAGACCTGTACCCTCTATGGCTGCATCACAGCAGTGTCAGGATGCAGACAGGGGTCTGCTAAGGAAGCATCTTGGGCTTCAACACTCAGGCTTGAGAGATGGGCTTGTTTTTCACTTGGGCTGCAGGTGCTGTCCAAGTCAGGAATGCAGTATCTGAAAGTCAGCACCTCTCTGAAACCTTTTAATGTACCAGAGCTTGGGAGGTGGGCAAAGACTGCTGAGAGGCCACACTGCAAGTATGGGTCTGTAGTTTGTAATCTCACATCTTTTGTCAGAGAGCTACAGAAGCCATTTTAGAGGCTTGTGCTGTGCTATGGGATGGTGGATGTGTAAAAGACAAGGAGAAGCAAGCTCCAAATAAGGATGGGTGGCAGATCTCTCACATGTCTAGCAAAGCTGCAGTCTGGGGAAGAATGACAGAGAATGACTCTCATATCTCAGGTTTTCCTGCTCTGAGATAACAAGGTACCTACAGAGGCTCTTTGGAGTTTTATTTCCTGCCTGTGCTGCATGGCAGAGGTGTCACAGGCTCCAAGTGTTAACGTAGCACATGTGGGTTTGATCTAGCAGCAGGGTGATGGCAGAGCACTGAGCAGTGGACTTCATTGCTGCTTGACTTGAAGGGCATGTAGTTGTGTAGTTAGGCCAGCATGAGCACACCTGGTTGGGGTTCACGTCCAGCCCACTAGCTCCTTCTTGATCTGCTCCTGGAGGGGAGTTTGCTGAGGGAGGGGACAGCCCTGGCATATCCTCTTTCAGCACATTTTCAATTTCTCCTTATAGGAACCACCATCTCCATCCCAAAACTTCTTCAAGACAGGTATGAAGCTGGAGGCAGTGGACAGGAAGAACCCTCACTTCATCTGCCCGGCCACCATTGGGGAGGTGAGAGGTTCTGAGGTCCTCATAACATTTGATGGCTGGAGAGGTGCCTTCGATTACTGGTGCCGATATGATTCCCGGGACATCTTTCCCGTAGGCTGGTGCTCGCTGACTGGAGATAATCTGCAGCCCCCTGGAACAAAAGGTAAGGCCCACGTTGTTGCTTAGGTGTCTTCCTCCTCCATTTACCTCTCAAACAGCAGCAAACCAGGCAGAGGCTGGCAGCAGGGACATCTGGGTGCCGTGCCTGCCTCTCTTACACTGCTTCCTGCGTGGTAAAGGTACAGATGATCCCATGTAAATGCAGTGTAACAGCCTGGCCTCAAGGTGTTAAGGAGCAGCCATGGATAGAGGTGGGCAGGAGATGGCTCTCTGAAGGGATGGAGTTGGTCACCACTGCTGGGGTGTGCTCCTCCTCAACACCTTCATCGGAGGCTTTCCTACACCTTTAGAATGCACGTTCCAAGGGAGTTTTCCACATGGGGACCAGGCTATCTGTGGATAAAGTAAGGGAATAACGAGAAGTATGAATTGCAGGACTCTTTGTACATGTGGCATGTACATGTGACTGTGCCTGTGGCAGAGACCTTGCTCTGCCTTGTCCTGTGATCTCTGCTTTGAACGTGGGAAGCACAGGTCTGGATGGATTGTACTTGCCTTGTTCCTAGGGCTGTGACTGTTGCTTTGGAATGATGCTGAGGAGCTTGCAGAGGTCTGAGCATTGGCTGTGGAGGTTTTCACATGTCTTTAGCTTGCTAGCACTACAGTTGCATTTAGGACCTGGGAGCTGTCATTGTCCCCATGCTCATCCCTCTGGCATTTGCTGCTTGGCAAACCCAGCCCATGCCTGACAATGGAATGAGAAGGAAAGCAGCCTCTCTGCTGGAGCTGAAGGATTACTTAGGAAAGGCATTTCTCTCATGAGACTGTTCCTTGTGAAAACCCAGGATCAGCTTGTGCTGACCCATCAGACCCCTGCTGTCCCTCGGTGTGACCCAGCCCTGTTCTCTGTGCTGCAAGGCTGGCTCAGGCTCCCCTTGTGCAGGGGTGATTCTGTTCTGGCTGGGAACTGAAAGGTTGTTGCTGTTTATCTTGGATTGCTGCTATTGGCCTTGATGTTCCCAGCCTCTCCCTCGCTTCCTGCTGGTTGTTTGCATTCTGTCCTGCGGGCGCCACAGAGCTGCTGGGGACCTCCCAGCCAGGGCTGCCCCCCCTGCCCAGCACTGCCCTGCGGTCACCCCCAGCATCTCCAAGGTGCTTCTCAGGTACTGCACAAGGGGCTAAAGACATGGTTGTGTTGGGTGGGAGCTTTGCTGGCACTAAACTAGAGGTGGAAGGGTTCAGGGGCAAGGTGCAAACGGCCTTCCTAAGAGAAGTGGGAAGACTCACAGCACCCAGCACAGGCAGCATCTCTGCAGCCTCCCTGTGCCAGGGCTGTGAGGGAGCAGAGCATCCAGAAGTGACACCCCAGTGTGGGGCAACACTGTGGTCATTTTGAGCCATCTTGAGAAGCATTTGCTTCCCCCCCTTGGCAGGCAGCAGTGACTCCCCCTCTTGCATTGGCTCCACCAGCAGCCACGCTGCGGTTCCCACTCATATACTAAAGTAGTGAACCCCCAAAGTCACATCTCCCACTCCCAGGCAGAGGCTCTCAGGCAGGTTTCTGCTCTCTTGGTTGTGTTGTTCAAGTCCAGAGACAAGAGCAGGGATTGCAGAGATTGTATGAGCCATGCAAAAACATCCCGGAGTTAGGATCAGCTTTGGCTCTGTGGTGTTTTCCTTTCCTCTCTGTGGCTGCCCCCCTCCCTTTCCTGGCCCAGACTTTGCAATTCCCACTTAAACCAAATGAAGGGAGCACTGGGAGCTTTCCTTGTCTGTAATCAGATTCCTCCCTGTTCCTTTACCTCTCAGCCCTGCTTTGGAGGAGGGTTGAGCACAGTCCTCCCAGGACCTGAGAGCGCTGCCCTTGGCAGGGTTGGAGGATGCTTCACCGCAAAGGGATCCCCCTTTCCTCCAGCTCCAGCAAAGCTTCCTTATGTGCCAGCCTGGAGCCTGCAGGACCACGCAGTGGAGTTGGGCAGGTTCCCATTCCCATTTGGAATTCCACCTAAATCAGGGAGACCTGGGGAGACACACAGGAGGTCAGTGCTACGGGTGGTTGAATGAGCTCTGCCGATGGGCACGAGGTGCTTGGGGGAGCTGAGATGTCCTGTGAAGAGTTAACTCCATGGAGACTGATGCTTTCCTGGGGCTGAGCAAAATGAGCTCATGATCAAGGGAAGCAGAACTTCAAAGAGGCCAGGCATGTTTATTTAATGCTGGTAACTTAATTCAGCTCTAATCTGTCCCTTCTGCTGCCTGCCAGCAGTGGTGGAGGAGCGCAGGGCTTCTCCAGGCACATCCCCTCTCCAGCTCCGGGGCCTCCCACTCCCACCAGTGCTTGCTTTGCTGGGCAGGGTGCTGGTGGAGCTGGGGCCCAGCCAGCCATGCCGAGGGGAGCTTTCCTGAGGACACGTGTGTGTGTGAAGGGAGGAAAGGGAGGTCAAGCGGCGAGGAGGAGCAGCTCTGCCTGCCAGGTTGGTAATTCCATGGCTGTCAGATGTGCTCTGTGGTGGCTGGCGGCCAGACGGCTGCAGGCTCCTGGGTATCTCCTGCAGCTCCTCTTTGTGCAGCACAGCCTGGAGCTGCAGGGTTCCAATGAACCCACACTGCAGAGGGGTGTAGCTCCAGGGGTGCCTGTGCCAGCGGTCAGTCCTGCTCCTCTCTGCTCCCCATCAGGCTGGGGTTGGAGGTCGGCTCTGCTGGGCTCCCAGAGCAAGGCGAGATGTGGCAGGGTTTGGCCTGTGCATCCTCAGCCTGCCCATGCCAGCCAGGCAGCAGCTGGGGAAGGCAGGGGGTTAGAACTACATGATCTTAAGGTATTCTGTGATTCTATGACTGTCCCAAAGGGAGGGGGCTTCTGGGGCAAAAGCTTCCTCTTGACTTCCCATCCATGCCAGTGCTGTACTCCTAGGACTATCTCTTAACCAGGGATCAGCACTCCTCACCTGCAGTGTACAGCATCTTGTATGTCTTTTCATGCCACTTGCACACGTGCTCTTTTACTCTGAAACACGTATCCCTGGCTCTTAGGAATAGAAGGTGAGGTGGGTGTCCTATAAAACTAGGTGCTGGTTGGCAGCTTTGAGCAGTGCTCAATGGGCAGAGTGTGCTACTGGTAGCCCCTGCAGTTACCTTGCACAGAAGATGCTCAGGACTTGTGGGTTCACTTCAGAGTTTTAGAAACCAGAAATGAAGACAGAGGGTTGGAACTGGATGAGCTTTAAGATCCCTTCCAACCCCAACCAGGCTGGGATCCTGTGGTTAATTCTGCTCAACCATGGTTTGTGCATCACTGCTGGGTGGCAAGGGAACACTGTGACCTTAAAAACAAGGATGCAGGGACACAGGCAGCCTGCAGCAGCCTGCCCACAAGCACAGGTAGGGCTGTCAGAGGTCGAAGTAACTCAGAAGGTCCTTGTACCATTGGACTGTGCCTTGGCAGGGGGGTTGGACTAAGTGGCCTCCAGAGGTCCCATGCAATGCTTGTGATTCTGTGATGCTGAGCTCCTCTGGAGTTCCCTGCTGGGTTCACTGCACCCATTACATTGATTTCCCAGCCCTGTGCATGCTCACCAGAACAGAACATCACAAGGGGTGCCGGGTGCTGAGCGGGGCAGCAGTGAAAGCGTTAAGGCTGGGTGGGCAGAGCTGGGAGCAGCTCCAGCACTGGAATTTGGAGGAGTGGAGTCGCTGCCTTGGCCAAAACCCAGCTGGCGACAAGCCCTGACCGGGATGGGGCTGGGGAGCTGCTGGGGAGGTGATGCAGAGCCTTGGCTGGGCCAGGCCTGCCAGGCAGCCACAGCAAGGGCAGCGCAGAGCCCGGTGCTGCGTGTGGTCAAACAACAGGCATGTCCCTGCACTGTGTGAGCACACTGCTGCTGTCAGCACACTGCAGCCTGGGCCTGGCTGCCTCCAGAGCCTGCCCCTCCCCTTGCAAAGCCCAAGTGAAGGGTTTTAGATAGTTACCATGGGGATGTGTTGAAGTGGAGCTCACATTCACTCCTGGACTCGTATCCGCTCCCACTGTTGCATGTGTTACACAGCCCAGAGGCTGGAGCCTGCCCTCACACGGGAGGGTAAGAGAAGGGCACAAAATGCTGCCCCTGGGTAGGAAGCTGATGAAGTCCTTCATCCCCCACCACTGCTGCTGCCATGTGATATGTTGGTTAACTGCTTTGGCATCTTCAGATGAAGATGATGGTTGGATGCTAGACTTTCTGCCCCCGGGCAAAGGTAATGTGTATTTTATGACTTTATTTCTGCTGTTGCTTGGTTTCTCTTCCTCCGCTGGGGCGAGGACACGGTGATGGGTGGAGGAGCCTCATGAGGAGTAGCTGGCAGGGGAGCGCTCAGGTGAGCTCTGCTTTACAGCTTGAAGGAGATGGAAAAATACCCATTGCTGTCACTTCAGGACTGAGCTGGGAGCTGGGGCTCGTCCATCAGGCTGGGTGATGAGCGTTGGCATTGGGGTGGCTGGAGTTGGGAGCACACAGATACCGATGCTTGCACAGAGAAGTTCAGCATTTTCTCTTCTAAGTGTGAGTCTAACGCACGTCCAGCCATCATGCTCTTGGAAGAGCCCAAGGAGTATCCCTTGAGCTGTTTGGAGCACAGAGCTGAGGGGCTTATCCTGGCTTGCGTGTGCGTCCTGGAGTCTGGGTTGGTTGTGGAGGTCTGGGTGCTGCAGGAGGGTTTGCTGCTCCCCAAACCCCTGTGGATGCTGATGTTGCCTGTGGCTCAGCACACAGCAGATCTGGGGCTCAGTAGGATCTCAGGCATGGCACCGACCTGATGTTACTGTGGATGTCTTGGGGGTGGAAAGAGCCTCCAAGAAGAGGAGGTGACCTGGGACAGGCAGTTTCCACCATCCTGCAGCCTGTCCTTCATATGAAGTTCATATCCCGTGTCCTTCATATGAAGTTTATATCCCCTGTCCTTCATATGAAGTTGTTTCCCAACTTAGCTTTTCCTCATGTGTTTTATTCTGAAGTAGTTCATAACCCACAGATTATGAATCTCTGTATTCAGGACGTTTCCTTCCTT